GGCATTTCAAGCCTAATTCCACTACAGAACTCCAAATAATTTTCCGGACACGCTCATAAGTCCAAAATCACCATACAGAGCTATTGGAATCATCAAAACTCCATTTCGGTGTCGTTTACACATAAGTCGACATCCGGTCACTATTTTAACTTAAGCTTTAAACCTTGGAACTAAGTGTTCCAATTCATTCCAAAACCTCACCGGACCCAAACCAATTACCATGGAATGTCACACAACAACTGTAAAGTATAATTTGAGTAGAAAATAGGGAACCGGGGTTGTAATACTCAAAATGACCAGCCGGATCATTACAGAATTCTTCAGGGATTGTCATATAAGTTAAGTCATATAAGCCATTTAAATTAACTTTAGATGCATATCAAGTTTTCATGTCATACTAGACATCTAAGATAGATAAAAGTGATTGCACACACCATTGACTTTATGCTTTCAAGTGTTTGAACTACAAATCCAAACCTATATGTCTTTCATATGAAATAAATTCTATTCAAATTCTACCTCTTTCATTTGGCTAATATTTTTGTGTCTATATTCAACAAACATAAGATACCCATCTATACTTAGTGCTATCATAGATGTCATCGCCGAACATTTTATATCGGTTCCAACATTTCTTTATAAAGACATAATATAGAGATCTCTTCATTTATATTTTCAGGTACCTGAACCTCTCTTGAAACTTTATGAAATATTATGTCATGTGATCTTTTAGATCACTTGCCCCCTTATTACGATCATTTGCTCATCTTCTTTATCGAAAATTTTATTAAAACCGATTTGTCTATACGCTTTAAGCGTACCATAGGCTTTGTTCTTCTAGGACTTATTCTAATGAGAGCATTTGTAGTGAGAATATAGTTACTTTTTTTGGGTCTGCAAATACGTCTGGCATGCTTTGCAATATATTGTAGATGAATTATCTTTTTATGAACTTCAAATTCATATTATCTTATTCGAGGATTTAGATGTACAAAGGATAATTTATTCCGTTACTTTCTCTCAACTGTTTACCCTGTCTCCCCCTCATGTTAGAAAAACTAACTTGCTTCATCAATTTTGTGCGTTATAGTGTTAATCAAAATATACACCGCACATCAATAATAATAAGATTGAATTATTTGATTCATGATCCTGAACTATTTGTGAGGGGAGAATATAATATACTTTCGTATATTATGTTTATCAAACTCATACATATAACTTTGTTCTCATGAGCAGTGGTTTAGCTATTAAGTGGAGGCACTCAATAAATTATTTTGCTAAATTAACTATGATATAAACCAACTTATCAAGATGAACTGTCTTGAATAGAAAATCTGAAAATTATGCTCTAAATTAAATTATTGAGCAAGTTAACTCGTAAATATCAGGTTGCGGGTTAATAATAATAGCACATGTAACCATCTCATATATGCATCTTATGTGATATACATGGCAGATGAATGTGCCCATATTCGCCTGTGATATTTTCAGCATTCATGAGATTCAATCTCAATTTTAGTTGGTCTATTAATTAATGAGAACAAACAATATAAGATAATTCATAAAGAACTTTCTAGTTCTTTATTATTTACCCATGTGAATTCTCTTTTATTTTTGCACATCATACTTAAATTAACATGGCTAAATCAATTATGCCAACTGGATAAATTATCAATATTGATAAACTTCATATTTACACCATGACGTGTGCAATTATCAATAAACTTCAAGTTTATTATGATATGAGTTTTTATATCAATAAACGTTTACTTTATTGTGGCATTCTTTTATGTGTGTAGTACAAACAGAAGAATAAAGCGGGTAACTTTTTACCTAAATTTTATCCCGCTACAAATTGTAGTAATAGAAGATATTAAATATTTCCTTTATTTATAATCTCAATATGACCAACCGCTTTCACGAATATTTTAAAAACTCAATAAGTTTCTTTGAGACTTAGTACGATACAATGCCTTATTGATAATCAATTTTATTTCTCCAAAATAGTACTAATTGGCTCTTTCAAGCTCTCAATTACTTTTGTACTACCACATATTCATCAACATTCATATGGTGAATATCTCTTTCAAGGAGAAAGTTATACCATTATGGTCATGGTCAAAATTATTATAGGCAAGATATGTTGCTTCCATTACTTATGTCCCGTAATAATCACATTGCCATAATATTTTGGGATAATCACAATAGGTACATGATCAATGACAATTTATGCCATAATAGTGAAATTATTTTGAGAATCCTTATTGTTCTCATTAATTACCACAATGATAACGATTATAATTTCGTCTATTACTACGTCCACACATTGATACCTTCATGGTAATAATTTTGTGTTCTTTCAGACTTATCACATACTGCTATCATATTCTCTTAAGGGAATGAGAATAAAGCAAATTCAATGGGACGAGTTTTCACTTCTTGTGCCCACAATCATACATGAATTTGATCATGGTAAGACATAAAAATTTTACCACTTCGGATGGTTATAATTTCTTACAAACTCTACTAGAGTTATAAGCAAAATTTATTGTCTTTGCTTGTATTTAAAATTAAATTATAGAATTTCAAGAATTTAAAAGAGAAAAATAAGGCAAAATACTTACCTTAAGTCCAAAATTTATTCCTAAAGGAAGTTCATGGAACATTTTTCTTTTGGTAAGAGGGGAAACCCGCAGCCGCTACAACCTCTGCCCTTCGGGTGAGCACTCCGTGATAAGCACTTTGTGCGCTCTGGGTAAACCTCCCTTTGTGTAATTGCCTGCAAACTACACAGAGGATGTAAACCGTACTAGGCAAGCCCTGTGCGGCAGGCTCAACCCTAGAAGGCATTAAGGGGGGAATCGATCCCAGGTCATACGTATGGATAACCGCCCTCCAAACCAACTGGGTAACCCCGATCAATATTATGTACGGGTTAAGCACCATGCACGTATCCTAAAGCCTGGTGACCGAAGCAGATTCCTATTATAGGAATATCAATGTATTTACCCAAGAGTCTCACGCAAATTCTTATATCTTCTCTCCACGGAGGTTTAATTTCTCAAACACTAGACAACTAATTAATAGTATGTCTACAAATTAAAACAACTGCCCTTTACTAAATTGGTTAGAGTCTCGTACTGATAACGTGTTATAAAATAATAAAAGAAGAAGAGTATCGCAAAGAAAAGTAAAGAGAGAATTCTTATTGATTAAACATGAATTACAATGAAATAGAACCCTCAATTTATAAGGAAAAAATGACTTAGCCACCAAGTAACAAACCCTAAAATCTCTCTAAAATATATAACTCACCTTTAAGTATAATTCTATTTATAACATGCCAGATGATATCAAGATATTACTGATTATATTCTTAGTTTATTTTGGATAATGCATTCTGAATAATAAAGGATACGGAAGAATTGTTGGAAAACAAGTATACGGAAGAATCTAAGATCCAGGAAAAGTTTAAATAAACTTTCAATTTATCTTTCATTGAAAAATTACTCTATACTATTATTTTTCACATCATTAACGAAGTTAAAAAATTATTTCTACACGTTGTTAAGATAGTAGCAAAGGCTTTGCTGGATTAGTAGAAATGACAGCTCAGAATTGTTTTTTTTAAGTCCCTTTCTCCTACACCCTATTTATAATTAAAAAAATTTAAAAAGAATTTATGTGCTTAATATTTTGAGGGAGAAAATTTCGCAATAGCAACAAGTTGGTAATCCCTACTTGACTTTCCTCACTTCATCTTTCTCCACTAGCACCTCCCTTGTCACCTTTTCCTTTTATGAAAGGGTTAATATAAAATAAGTGAATGGTTCTTGTTATTTTCTTTGTTAGTTTAGTTTATTATTCATATTATATTGGAATTATTTACTTAATTGTTTTAATAAGATGTGGTATATAATATACTATTAGTTCATTGTTGATTGTAACCAGTGTTTTAAAAGGCGTGGGCGTAAGACAAGACATTTTACATATGCTTCAGCGAGGCGTAAGCCTTGAGGCACGTGGCGTAAGCTCCATAAGTATTTAATTTTAATATTTTATAAAATAATATAATTGCAGTAAATATTTATAAACAAGTAAAATTACATAAGAATTGAAGAAAACTATAAATATGTATATATATATATATATATATATATATATGTATGTATGTATGTGTGTGTGCGCGCGCACGCGCTCCATCCCCATAAAATATTAGTCAAAACAATCTATTATATGCTACTTATAAGCAAAAGTAACTTGAGTCTAAAAGAATAAAATTTTCTAAAATGGAGGAACAAAAAAGAGGACTAACCTACAATTTGAACTTTGAACAAGGAGAATGAAGTTTTCTTTGTATTTGTAAAAAAATAATTGAATATTCGTTGCTCTTGGGAGATATTAGCAGACTAACGGACAAAATAAAATTTTGGGAAAGATCATGAATTAGGACTTCAATCAATAAAAAGGGTATTGACTTTTAAATTTAATACATTTCAGTTCTTTTTTAAAACTTTTGAGTAATTACAAAGCTGACTTTTGAGAATTTGGGTATTATATGAATGACTTATTCAATAAATTTTGTTTTAATTTGAAAAAGTCTCTAGGGCTTACACCTCACTAAAAAAACGCGCCTCAAACGCCCGGGCGTACACCTCTCGAGAATTTCGCCCCACACCATCACCTCAGAGCGTTTTTGGTTCGCCTCGCCCCAGGACTAGCCCCGAAACGCCTTTTAAAACAGTGATTGTAACTTGAAACTGTTTGCATGATATATATTGTTAATTCCAAATTATTAATTTTTTGTTTTTAGTAATTGCTTATTTATTTTGATTTTGTATATTATTGTGTTCTATATTGTTAAATTGTTATTTTCTGTTAGTTTCTATTAAAAAGAACCTAAACAATTAAAAGTGTCCTGTTTCAAATTATTTATTGGAAAAGAAAAATGGAGATAGGCGGTTGCAAAATTGACGACTAGATACAATAAAAGCTCTTCAAATTTGAAAAAGAAAACGAACACTTCCTAACAAATTCTGGAGACGTTGCTAATAATTTCAAGAATTACAATTTCCCATGTCTTTAAACAGCTTCAAGGAGACACTCAAGCCCTGCACTGCAATTCAATCATCTTTCTCACAATCTTCTTCAACACGTTCGTACAATTTCGACACAAAATCTGTAAACCCTAGAAAACCCCCTAAATCTTCTTTGTCCCAGCAACTTCTACGACTCGAGGATCACACTTCTTTGCTTCAAACTCAACCACCACAAACTCCCAATAAGCAGAACCATTTTGATTTGAAAAGCAAATATGAAAAATCAGAGGAGGAGGAAGAAGAAGAAGAAGAAAAGCCCGTTGGGTTTGGGAGGCCCAAATTGGATTTATTATTGCTAGATCAAACAGGACCTTACGAGCCTTTGGTTCTGTCTTCACCGGGTCAAAAGCCTGTTGTCCAGGTGATTTTTTCACTGGCCCATATAATCAAGATTCAATTTTTTTGAGCCCTTTTAAACTTTTAGTTTTTGAAATTGTTGGTTCAATTTCAAAATTACACAAATGGGGTTCTGTTTATATTGGAAAGTTAGTATTTTGAGATCCTGTGCTATTTGCTTATTGATTGAGAATGTGAACATTGTATGCTTTGACTTATTTGGGGCTTCATTTGATTGATAGATTTTTGAGCTAACTCCTTAATTAGAATGTGATTGATCAGATTTCCCTGAATAGAAAAATTAATATGTTAATGACTGTGGCGGTGCTCTAGTTGGTTTTGCTCAGCACTGTGGTAAGTTGAAAACGATATCTAGACCGTGGTTTTGGTGAATGACTTAGTCCCTTGCTTAAGCTTTGGTTGGATCTCCAAGGAGTTTTAAGAAGGAGACAAACATCTTGAATAAGGAAGGGTGGAAAGATGAATTTTTTTCAATAACCGAGAAATCCTGAGGTCCAGTTGGCTCATAGTTTAAACAACAACAACAACAACGACCCAGTAAAATCCCACAAGTGGGGTACGGGGAGGGTAGTGTGTACGCTGACCTTACCTCTACCCTGAGGGAGTAGAGAGGTTGTTTCTGATAGACCCTCGGCTCAAGAAGAAGAAAAGAGACAATATATCAGTAACATCAACAAAAATCATAGAAATAATAACAAAATCATAAGAACCAGTAAATAGATGGAAAACAAAAACAATAACCAGTAAATAACCCTGGCTCATAGTTTGAACCTCGGTGGATAATTGACTTGTCCCTCTACCCTTCTCCCATTAAATATGAGGCTTTAAGTGTTAATGCCATTTGGATTATAATCAAAAGGAGCCAAGGGGGATGGGCTTTTGATATGGATATTTTCCATCTGCTTTTGCAATTTCTCCTCTTATTTATACGGAATACAGATTTTTTCTGCCAAAGGTGGTAATTTTCTTTTTATCTTCATTGTGGAAACAATAGGAACATTCTTCTTTGTTTCTTTTCTTGAGAAGGTTTCAATTTTAACTGAAAGATTGCTCTTTGGTTTTTAGGTTTGTTAGGTAACGACAGCCCATTGTCTTCATATTTGGTTAGGAACCATTCAATGTCTTTTGGAGTAAAACCTCTTATCTTCACTGACCCTAAGAATTACTAGATTTCTCAGATAAGTACAACTGTTCTGCCATTTGAGACAGCCCTTTTCCAAATAATGAATCTTGAAACAAAATCAAGAAATAAAAAGAGATGTGGACCATTTTGTTACCTGTTGATATAAATTCATACTTGCTTCTTTACCCAGTTTATGATGTGTAATGATTGACTACATATTTAGCAATTTCCTTTATTTCTTTTTCAGGTTCCAGCATCTATAAACTGTAGGCTTTTGGAGCATCAACGAGCAGGAGTGAAATTTTTGTATAGCTTGTATCAGAATAATCATGGAGGAGTTCTTGGAGATGATATGTGAGTTTTCTTTGTGATTCTCTTTTTGGGTGTTATGGTGGATACTACTTGTTGTATAGTGTTGGCCTAACTTGTACAAGTGATGAGCATCAGCTGTCGGGTCATGTTACGCACAGTCATATACACTTATTAATGCTATTGTAAAGTGTCAAATTTTTATATTTTATATTGTGATTATAATGTCTCTTCTCCTTGTCTTTCCTTTTTTATGGCATATGCTTGGAACAGGGGACTTGGTAAAACCATCCAAAGCATTGCATTCTTAGCTGCTGTATTTGGTAAGGATGGAGACTTACCTGAATCAACAGTCTCGAAGGAACACCCAAGAACAAGGGTCCCTGTACTAATAATTTGTCCCTCTTCTTTGATCCACAACTGGGAAAATGAGTTTTCCAAGTGGGCAACATTTAGTGTTTGCATTTATCACGGGCCAAACCGTGATTTAATGATTGACAGACTAGAAGCACGTGGAGTGGAGATACTTATAACCAGTTTTGATACATACAGAATCCATGGACACATTTTATCAGATGTTGATTGGGAGATTGTGATTATTGATGAGGCTCATCGGCTTAAGAATGAGAAATCAAAACTGTACAAGGCATGTTTAGCAATTAAGACCCTAAAACGTTATGGTCTTACAGGAACAATAATGCAGAATAAATTAATGGAATTGTTCAACCTGTTCGACTGGGTGATACCCGGTTGCTTGGGGACACGTGAACACTTCCGAGAATTTTACGATGAGCCCCTTAAACATGGTCAGCGATCAAGTGCTCCAGATAGATTTGTTCGAGTTGCTGATGAGCGAAAACAGCACTTAGTATCAGTTCTGCACAAATATTTGTTAAGAAGGATAAAGGAGGAAACTATTGGACATCTCATGTTGGGGAAGGAAGATAATGTTGTATTTTGTGCAATGAGTGAACTGCAAAAACGGGTTTATCAGAGAATGCTACAGTTACCTGAGGTACGATGCCTTATCAATAAGGATCTCCCTTGTAGTTGTGGAAGCCCTCTCAAGCAAGTCGAATGTTGCAGAAGGACGGTTCCAGATGGTATCATCTGGTCTTACCTTCACAGGGACAATCCAGATGGTTGTGATTCATGCCCTTATTGTGTCGTTCTTCCTTGTCTCATGAAGCTCCAGCAGGTTATCCCTAATGAATTTTCTCTGGGTTGTCTCTTGATAGATCTGTACATCTGTACTATGATTCCTTGATAGTCAATGATGTAGAAAATCTAAACTCAAAGTAAGTTCTCTAGTTTCTTTTAAGGAAAAATGCTGCTCTAGAGATATGTTCCTAAAGTGAAAGAAAATGAGATTAGGTTGCCAGATGCAAAACGAGTCAGACAACATAGAGAAGGAAAATGATGAACATCTAGGAACCCTCAGTTTCAGGTGATGCATAAATTAAGTAATTAACCCAAAATTAATTAATTAACCAATGCTGTTTCTACTTATCAACTTGCTATTAGAAGTGGATGCATTGTTGTCTAGCAGAACATGTTAAAAGTGTGATCCTCTTTTTTGGTCTCTGAATTCTGATTTTTAATCTTTCTTCCCTCTTTAAAAAAAAATGTTAATGAAACAAGAGAAAAGAAGACTCGGGAACATTTCTTGAAAATTAAAGAGGAAGAGTACCTCTTACGACCTCAGATCTGCCATTACCTTTGAAAATAATGATTCTTTGTCATATGGTGGAGTATGGGGTGGACATAACCATGTTATTTCATTCGACTTTCTAGTTATTTGCAACATTGGTACCCCTCAATCCTATTTACTTTTCTTTTGAAATTATTTTCCGTCCCTCTTTCATCATTTTGTATCCTCACTTTTTGGAGCTCTCTGAGCAGATAAGCAATCACTTGGAGCTTATCAAGCCTAATCCAAGGGATGATCCAGATAAACAAAGAAAAGATACAGAATTTGCTGCTGCTGTATTTGGTAAGGACATTGATTTGGTAGGAGGACATACTCAGAATAAGAGTTTCTTGGGCTTAAGTAATGTTGAACATTGCGGGAAAATGAGAGCATTGGAGAAACTAATGTCCTCTTGGGTTTCACAAGGTGACAAGATTCTTCTTTTCAGCTATTCTGTAAGGTACTATATCAATATTCAGTTCTTTTATCCTTTTGAGTGACTGAAACATGCAAATGCTTGCAAAAAGCTAGGTGCTTGGCTAACAAATATAATTACTCCTTTTTGTGATGGAGATAAAAACGCCATATTATTTTGTATTTTAAGGCGTTGAGGCAGTTCCTTTTGTTTTTGTCCTCAGTCATGATTGTCATTTGATTACTTTTTATGATGATATCTTAAATTCTCTATCAATATTTCTCTTCCTCAGTTATCGTCTATCACATTATGTCAATTCAAAAGAGTGCATGAGTAAGAGCTTTTTTCCTGCTTTATTTGATATTAGACCAGCTGAGTTTTGTTGTTGGAGATATGTCAAAATTAATTACACTAATGGGCTAACTAGTTTAAGGAATATGTTTAGTAATAGTCTAATGACTATCTTCTTGAAGATAGTACTTCTAACCAATTGAGAGATGGGACTTCTCTAAATTTAAAACATTTAGCCTTCTGATTTTGTGTGAGTTTTAATTTATGGGTTTCTCTTTTCCTTTCCTTTTATAAAATTGTAAAGTTGTTTTTATTTCTATCTGATCTTCCAAATTGAAGAAAGGTCAATGCACATTATCTGATTGTTTAACAATTGCTGTTTGATTTTTGCTAGCCTAACCCCTATCTTGGATTAGAATTAGAGCAGCATCACAAAAACTTCCGATCTGATCTCTGGTAGTGGTGCACTGTTATGACAACCTGAGGGCTGTGAATGGTTTTAATGAGGATCTCCATCTTTTTTTGCTTTTTGGGATAAGTAGGATCCGTCTCTTCTTATGCGGCTTTCTAGATGTATATCCCTTTTTCTCTTGTTTTGCAACTCCGTTACTGTGGAATCTGAAAAACAGCAAGAGTCACCCAAGGATCTGTTTTATGCTTATAGAAATATATATGTTCCGTTTATTGCATAGCTTTTCAGGCATGTCTTATTTTCTCTAGTCTTAATTCCCTTCTTTTTAAAAATAATTGTCCTGAGCAGGATGCTGGACATACTTGAGAAATTTATTATACGCAAAGGCTATGGCTTTTCAAGGCTTGATGGTTCCACCCCAACTGGCCTGCGCCAGTCTCTAGTCGACGACTTCAACTCTAGTCCTAGCAAACAGGTAGATTTTTTAATCAATCAACTCTTCCAATCCCAAATTAGTTGAGGGTTATCTATATGAATCCACTGCATCCAGTTGTGCTCTATTCAGGCCCATTCCTCTTTATTAATATGGAATAGAACAATTTTAGTAATATTAAACTTTACTTCTCTTTATCATTTCTGTAATTTTAAGTTGTTCTCATCTTAGGTGTTCCTTATATCAACAAAAGCTGGTGGACTTGGCCTCAACCTCGTTAGTGCAAATCGTGTAGTGATATTTGATCCAAATTGGAATCCTGCCCAAGATTTGCAGGCCCAGGACAGATCATTCCGATTTGGACAGAGGCGGCATGTTGTTGTTTTCCGCTTACTTGCGGCCGGTTCTCTTGAAGAACTTGTTTACACTCGTCAGGTCTACAAACAGCAGTTAACAAACATTGCTGTCTCTGGAAAAATGGAAAAACGCTATTTTGAGGGAGTTCAGGTTGAAAATTACTTTTCTTTGTTTGTTTCCTCGGGTTAATTTTTTTTTTTCTGTACCATTCTTCCAGTTGGAAATGATTACTTATTCAGACTGCAACTTTCAGGATTGTAAGGAGTTTCAAGGGGAGCTATTCGGTATCTGCAATCTTTTCAGAGATCTATCTGACAAACTCTTCACAAGTGAGATCATTGAATTACATGAAAACAAGAGAAAGGAAGATGGAACTCATTCAAAACAGGATTTGAGTGGGATGTATTTTGTTCCTGAGAAAGAAATAACTACAGCATCTTTGGTGGCACCTGAAAGCAGTAAACATAAAGAAGAGGAGGGCAGAGCAGTTGCTCCAATGCTTGAACACCTCGGTGAGTTCATCTTTTGTTTGTTTCTGATAAATTAGAATTGCTCTGAAGGTCCATTATGGAAAGGCAACAGGAAAGAAAAGAATGGTAATTATCGAGGCACCCAAAGTAAAAAAATTCTCTAAAAGAAGAGGAAGGTCAATATTGTTCTAGCTCTAGGTATTGATCGCACTGAATGGAAAGAAGGAAAATATTACTTGGTTATTTGATAAGATAGAACTAAGAGGATCAATGTAGTTCTTTTAAGAAATCTGCTATACTGTTCTTACCTTAAGATTCTCGAAGCTGTTGAAATGGTTGACAATCTTTTATCTTTTATTTTCCTTTTCTTTTTTTGGCAGCAATATTGAAGTTCTTTCTTCACCCTCAATTAACTGGCTGATGTCTCTTTACAAAAACAAAATTGTAGGATACAGATATACAATGGCATTGATCTTTATTGCTCATTTGACCTTTTGATGCCCAGGTATTGTATATGCTCATCGGTTTGAAGACATTGTTGATCTTGGACCAGCAGTGACGAAAGAGAAAAAAGAACAGACTGTGCATCTAAATAATGCTCCAGGGTTGCCAGAGTGTTCAACCGTTGGGAAGAGGAAATCAGATGCCATAACTGGGAAGGAGAATGTAGGAACTGGCAATCCTATAAAGATGCGCAAAAAGAACCAATTTAGCCTCATTGCCTGTTTCATGGGCATGGAAGAGGTTCAGTTTAGCAAATGGCTCTTATCTGCAACTCCAGCAGAGCGTGAAAAGGTACTAAAAGATTATCATAAGGAGAAAGGATAAAATTCATGACTTTTATGACAACTTGTAACTTCTGTAACATATATTCTGTACAGGTGCTTCTTTTTTCTTTTCTTTCTTTTATATACTCCACTTCTTAGTGTGTACAGGAAAGTGTTTAGGCTGTCCATTGTATGTGTATCTTCATTGTTTTAGAGTATAAACAGTTCACACTTGAATAAATAGGGAGATAATAGTAGTCCAAAGTTAGTACAATCTTGTTCGCTATTGCTCTGAGCATCTGGATGTCTGGTATCCACCTATTTGTTCAACAACACCCCCTCCCCTCCCCTCCCGCCAATGTAGACTTTCACTTCATAAAAGAATATTGCATCTACTTTCTCTGCAACTTGAATCTGAGATTGTCTATGTTGGATTGATATCTTGGGAACATTGTGTTTCTATGATACTACACATAAGCTGTACGGTTGACTTCATGAAGAAAAATAATTTGCAGTTAATTCCTCTGCATCTTGAACCTTGATACTGGCTTTGAGCCGCGACTGACTGAGCACCCTTGGATTGATATCAATATCAGTTGTGTGTTCTATGATACCACCAGTAAAAGGCTGCAAGAGGATATTGTCAGATACTGATCCCCTTAATATATCAATTGATCTTATAATCGTGCAAGAATGTACCTTACTACTGTCAAAGTGTGGTTTGGAAGGACGAGCAGCAGCCTGTAAGAAAAACATTCAGTGTATATTTCTATAGTTCTTAACTCTGGAAAGATGCACGCAGAAAAACATATTGTTATGTTGAAGATAATAGAGCAATATAGGGTGGAAAAGATGCACGATACAGTAATGTTATGTTGAAGAAGATGGAGCTATATCAGCATACTTCAACCAATTAGCTCGAGCTGCCACACCAGCAAAGAGATGAACGCGGTGCACAGTGTTTTTGGTGCTAGGGATTAAGATTATGTTATGAACAGAAATAAGCACCTAGTCCTTTTCTCTCTACATATAAACGTTTTTCATGAGGGGAAAAGGCAGGCGGAGGGGAAATAAAAATGACATTGTAGCCATGTCACCACAAATATGTTGAGAGACGAGAATTTATGCATAATGCAGACCAACAATATTACTCTTTTGAGTTTGTTAACATGGATTACAAATGGATATGCTTCTACTTCATTATTTTTTTTTTTAAAAAGACGAGAATCCAGAGACTAGCTGGTCCAACAATGCAGCTCGTGCAGAAACAGACAACAAGAACGACTTCTGCTATTTACAATTTTGAATGAAATCCAAGTCAACTGAAAAATTGAGCGTGCTGACAGGGTTACACGTACAACCTACAGATCTTTCGCAGTTCAAGGGATGACATAACAGAAATGCAACAATGTCAGCTAACCATTCTTTGTCTCCCACTGCTGAGAAGAAGAAAACAAAGAAAGAACAAGCTGGAACAGCGAGAAATGAGATAGTGAAAGTAATGCAGGTGGACTGGAACAGCAATGGCCCTGTCCAGGTAAGAACAAATAAAAGGCATAGAATCGTACTTTGTTTTCAGCTATAAGAAGAGCCTTAACATCCTCCCTCGTTTGTGGTTCTGTTGGAGCATTCACCGTCAAATTGGACTTGCCATAAGCTAGATTCCCAGTTCAGCAGTTTTCTGATACAATGCAATCTTTTAAGAGAAGCAGAAGTAAAAGAATACAGGAACTTGCAAATTGAATAATCTTCGGGATACGAAAATTTGAGAAACTGGTAAAGTTTACTCATCGTTTCAAATGAAAGTTTTACCATGACATTCCTCTAAGAACCAGCACGGAATTGATTCAATTATGGAATGTTGCTAGTCGCCACTCTTGATTAGTATATTGATGTGATCAATTTACTATCGGCTTAGTATTGAACCTATGGGGTCGCACACTAACGAGTGTTCTGATCTTTGCTAAAGAATTAATTATTTGATAATTAAATTAAAAAAATTTAATTAGTCAAATAATTTAGTTATTAGTCCAAATAAAATATTATTATATTCCTTGCTAGCACAGATGATATAAATTAATATTGTGAACAAATTAAAGTTTTTTATTTGGAATAGAAAATTAAATTGTATCTCTTGGTTAAGATATATATATAATTAATACTTATTTTATATAATAGATGTTATATAAAATATTAATTAAGAAAGAAGCTTGGTGGAAACTTTGTCAAGTGAATTTGGATTCACGTGAAAGTCCAACATGTGGGCATCCGCAATCCCATTTAGAATGCGATTCAATTTTTCAACAATATAGCAAACTTACTTTCGGTTTAGACAAGAATCCAAATTTGAATTGTATTGGAAAGTCCAATGTGGGCAACTTCAATTTTTCAACAATAACAACTTACTTTCGGTTTAGAATTGTACAAAAGTTCACCGCCTCTAACCAGTGGCAGAGCCAGAAATTTCATTGAGGGGCGTCAAAATATATAAAAGTAAACATACTAGAAAATTAAGGGGAGTCAATATATAGTATATCTACATATAAAAAATAATTACCTACCTACACAGTGTATTTTTTCCGCGAAGGGGTGTCATTTGACACCTCTTCTTGTAAGATGGCTCCGCCACCGCCTCTAACCTTTCCTTTGATATAGTGAAAAGGATTTTCAGAGGTTATAAATATGTCCAATTGACATGAAAATCCATGGTGAAAATAATACTTTTAAAAAGCCACAAAATTAAGAGAAAAACATACAAGAACAGTTCTCGTCGTGCAACTTTGGGTAGTAAGTCTTGAGAAGAAAAACCACTTTGTGAAAGTGAGAGTGCAATACAAAGCCAAGAGAGAAAATAATATTACAAGAAATGTGTTTCTTGTTCTTCTACTTTTGAGTTGAGATTTTTGAGAAAAATTTTAACATAATATTTTCATTCAATTTGTTCGCGGGTTCATTGATCAAAGAGTTGATAAAAAGGACCGGTCTCGGTGTGGATACAGATAGAATCTTCGTACTATCGAAGAAATTTTATAACGAGACTCTCTTCACCAGGTACGTCTTAGATCTGATCTTTGACATATAAAAAAAATTTAAACACGAAAAAGCCTGTTTAGGATTATTATTGTCTTCCACTGCGTGTTATGAACACTTCTATCATTCCTACAATGGTATCAGAGCCATGGTTTCTCGTGTCTAAAATTTATTTACGAAATATTTTAAGATTATATTTGAAAAGTTCAAACCATAATACACGTGTCTTGTGCAATAGTCAAATTATTTGAATATATATGGATTGATATTATTTTATTATAAATAAAATATATATTCATATAAGTTAAACTACTGAGATAGTTCGTAACTTGAATTTAAAATTTCGTATAAGATACGATGGTAATCTATAACAGTGTTTACCCTAAAAATTGAGTAACAATTAAACTTATATTGTGGTTTTAAGGATATGTGATTTAAACTAGTACCAATTGATAAACAACGAATTAAACAGATAAATTGGATAATAAAATAAATCAAACCGGTCTGCAAACAACGCCTCGACCTCGATTCAAGATAGTCTTGAGGTTAGTTAATAAGAACAATAGAGGATGGAACAAACACCGATGAATAGTAAGTAAAACAAAGAAGGTAGCGTGTGTATATATTCTTATCAATGAATAATTATTTTCCCTTACAAGTGAATGGAATCCCTCTTTATATATTAGAGGAATCATAAATAAGGTACAACTCTAATAACGAAAGTAGATCTCATGATTGGCACTAATAAGCGCTTTGATTTGATTTGTTCCGGGATTTTCGTCGTGATCTTCGACCGGTTACTGATATCTTGTCATTCCGTTATACTCGGGGTCAGTCATGCTTGATCTCGATTCTTGCTGGCCTCGATCTCAATGAACACTTCGATCTCCAGGCTTGATGTTTTATCTTCGAGCTCGAGCTCGATCTATTATGAGGTTACCCTCGAGGCAACTCCCCTGCCAACAAAATCGGGTATGCCCGATTTCGACCGTATACAAATAGTCCCCTCGTTTTTTGGAGTGTAACGAGAAGAAATGAATTTGAGACTTCGATTTAATACCTCGATTAATTATGACGTCAACATCGTGACGTAAGCGACATAAGCGATTGAAGCGTTGCTTCTGCACAGTTCCCAAGGTCATTAATTAACTCCAGTTGATGGTCGGCCACTAGAGCTTTCAAATCATCAAAGTGGCTATTATAAATAGACCACCTTCATAATCTTCTCAAACTTTACTTTCAAACTTCTTCTAATCTTCAAAAGCTCTTCTATTCTCTTCAAGTTCATCAACTTTGCCGGTTTCCGTTAGCCAATCTCTTATTAAAACATAAATTCCGCCTTCTTCTTCCTTAATCCTCATATAGTAATGGCAAAAACATCAAAGATCGTTCCTCAAGAAGAAAAGGCCTCCTCATCGCGGCCGGCCGGTGACAGAACATCGGTGGAGCCACGTATCGAAGAGTGCATCCCCGGGCCATGTGAACTTACTTTCGACTTTAAAGTAAAAAATCCCTCTTTGGTTCCTGGCCGATGCGAGCTCATATCTAGATTACCTGTTCGATATCCGAAGGCGATCTCGAGCAGGTGAAAAAAGACTGCCACTGGGAGAATAAATAGGTGGTGATTCCTACCCCCGAGGAAGACATCACCACTCATGTGAAAGGGTTCTTAAGTGTGTATACTTACCCTTTCACACTGGGTTCCGTCGATCCTGTCATAATCGACTTCTGCCGCCAATACCGGGTAACCCTAGGCCAGATCTACCCCTCTTTTTGGTGCATTGTCAGCTTGCTCAGATTCTTCTTGAGTAAGGTCAAGGGGATGTCTTTCACCCTCGATCATCTCATTAGGCTATACAACCCCCATTTTTATCGGGGCAGACTGATAAGGCTTCAGCGTCGGGACACGAAGGTGTTGTTCTTGAGCATAGATGAGGACAAGGACCGAGGATGGATGGGCCAGTTTTTCCGAGTCAAGACCTCCGACTTAATCCTCGCCGAGAAGATTCCATTCCTCGAAGAATAGAATATGAAGCGTAAGTAGAACCTCACCGATAATGTTTGATTACTTGTTATGTTTCATTTACCTCTTCTCATCTATATTTTTCTTTATGGTGCAGCTTCCCCCTGGTTTCCTGCTGCAGTCTCAGGCCTTGTAGGTTGGGTTTTTCAACCTTTTCGTATGCTGAGCGCTCGTGGCGCGATTTGGCCAAGGGTCGATGGGAGGCCAAAAATCATGGTAAGTTCCCATGTCCGTGTTTGATGCTTTCCTGTCAAAATACTTTTTTTTAACTTGATTCTTCTCATACATGTCTTGGAGATAATATTGTCACGAGGCCGTTTCCCCTCGGGGTAAAGGAGGTCCCGAAGTCGACCAACGACAAGAAAAAGAGAAGGGCCTCGCCTCCAGATACACCGAAGCCCAGGAAAAGCAGGGCTCGAAAGTCGAAGACTGATCCCGCCGTTCTGTCTGCCGATGTAGTCCAAACGCTACGAGATGAAGACGAGGGGGAGAAGATGTCGACTGCCTGCTGGTGGCTCCGAAGAGGGGAGGCATCGAAGCTTCGAGAATTGCTGAGTCGGTGACAGTCGAGGAGGTTCAGCCGCAGACCGAGGTGATCTGGGAGGAAGGACCGAGCAGAGTGCCTGAGTCATCGGGTGTTGATGATGCCTCATGTCGTGGTGAGCAACCGGCGGGTGTGCCCGAAGGGTCTAGTTCTGAGGCCCTTCAAAGAGAAGAGAATGCCCTGAGTGACTCGCTCGGGGAAATTAACATTGATGATTCACCGCCCGGCCCCACGTTCTCTGAGAGGCAGTTTTGGGATGCCCAGTCCATGGGGACCCCCGATGTGGGGACGGCCCCTGAAGGGGATAATATATTTCGCGACTGCTTCGCGAGGGTCGATGATGTTCCCGACCTGGTCGCATGACTCATTTTTGATGAGGCTCAGCAGCTTCTGAACCAAGTAAGTTTTAGCCCATGTTACCATGCTTGCGTTTGTTCTTATTTCACTAAGTCTGATTTTCTTCCTTTTTGTACAAGTTACGGTGCTCCATAGAGAAGCGTCCTCCAAATACCGAGTTGAGTTGGCCCGATGTGAGGCTGATCTCAAAAAGCTTACGGAGGAGAGAGACGCCCTCAAACTCCTCTATGTGCAAAAAGAAGAGGAGATCATGAGCATTCAAGCCGAGCTGACGAGAGCTCATCAAGATCAGACCGAGCTCATCGAACGAGTAATGTAAAATTTTGGGAGCTTGTTATGTATTAACTTGATATTGGCGACTAACACTTTGATCCTGCAGGTTTAGCAGAAGGTCAAATTGGTTGAGCAACTTCGTGAGGAGGTCAAGATGAAAGAGGCAGAGACTTTGGGGTAAAAGCATAACATGGACCGTCTCACCTCTGAGAAAGATGCGGTTCAGGCCCAACTGTCTTCGGTTGAGCGTCAACTCCAAAGTGTGAAGGGGGCAGAACTTGGCCCGAGCCCAGAAGGTTGAAGAGCTCGAGACTCGGTTGGCCGCTGAGCTTGCAAGGGCCACATCCGAGGCAGAGGCGCTCGAGGCCTCCTACCGAGCCGACGCTGAAGTCGCTAACACTCGGGCAAAGGAAATTTCTGATGTTGCTGAGGTTAGATTGTTCCGTGTTGCCGAACATGCTAAGCACCAGTCTTGAAGGGAGACTCTTGAGGAGGTACATGCTCGTGGCTTCGACCTCACGACAGATATCGAGA